AGCAGGGAGCCCGATGTGGGACTCGATCCCAGGACCCTGGGATCATGACCTGAGCCAAAGGCAGACGCTTAACGACTGAGCCACCCAGGCGCCCCTGCTGTTTTATCTTTAACAACTCTTCCTCCTTGCCCCACCCCAACTTAGAAATGTTATTTTTAATATTGCTAAGGATTGCCTTCATATATATATATATATATGAATTTTTTTTTTTTACCATCGTATTCTTAATGGTTGTCGGTACACAAAAACTAAAAAAAGCTGCTCCATACTCCACTGACTTCCATTCTCACTCTTCTTTTTTGTCGATTTGTGTGTTTTGTCAGAATACCGTACATGTTTTCTTCTGCACCTCTGAACTTCTGGCTTCTTACTCTTTGTTCTTTGATACCCTGTCCTGATATGCTCATTCTGCTTTTCTTTTAGTAAAAAAAATCTTTTAAGCAGTTTTTTCAAAAGGGCACATATACAGAGTTGTAGATGAGAAACCCAGTTCCAGTTAATTTTCTTTATTAGAACCTTGGTCTCTTCCTATAAGCTTACAAAAAAAAATACTATTTATCTTTAGAGTTCAGAAATGTCTTTAATCCTGGAGTTTGGCTATTTCACCAGGATGTCCAGATGTGGATGTTAGCATTAATCTTTCACGAAACTCTGTAAGCTCTTTGGATATGAAAATTCAAGTCTTTAAAGCTTAGGAAAATTTTGTTTTTATTTTTCAGTCAGTTATTGCTTTTTATCTGGTCTTTTTTCTATCTCTGGTACTCTTATTTTGCACTATATTTGCCTTCTAAGTCTCTTACCTATTCGTGTATGGAATCCTCTTTTTTTTTTTGTATTTTTGCCATTTTAAATGTGATTTTATTGTTGGTTTTGTTTCTTATTTCCAGCTCAGTAATTTAGCTTTCATAGTATTCTCTCTACTCTTTACCATTCTTTGCATTTATTAATTTGGAGTCACTTGATACCCTTTGAACGCCACTGAATAGCTGCATGATCTTCTAACAAGTTGCTTTAAACACATAAAGTGTTCATCTTCTCTGCTTGTATTTTTTTGCATATTATGTGTGTATGTGTTCTTAATTTGCATTACAAGGTTTTACACTTCTTTTTCTTTCATTGAATCTTTGTTGATAGACACCATATGTTTTGGTTGTTTATTTGCCCCAAGTTCCTTAGACAAGCTATGATCTTTTTTTGCTCACTATGTCAGGGCTTGTAGATTCTTTCTGCACCTCATACCTGTCCCATTGTTGGTTTCTTGGGCAGTTATTGTCAAGCCATGAGAGGTAATTTTTTTCCCTTTATATCTTTGCCTGATGGTCTAGTTAGGTCCTTCCATGGAGGGTAGGGAGGAGTGTGCTTTTGGTGTTGGAGTCACAGGCTTCAAGTCAGCCTCCACTGGGGTGGTTCTCAACAGCTCCTAGCATAGGGTCTTTTCCAGAAATGACTGCAACAGGAAGGCAGGGCCCCTCTCCTTCTGTTTGCTTGGGTCATCGCATGGCCTGCGAGATTGGTCCCTCAGGTGGCAGTGGATTCTGCGCTCAACATCCACCTCCCACCTCCAAGTCTCCCTGCTGTTGAAGTGACTGTCGGTTTAGCCAGTAACGGTGCTCCTTCTCTGCATTCCAGCTGTAGGCTACACTTTCTCCTCAGTGGCACACTCAGGCCTTCCTTTTCAGAAAGTGTTCCTAAATATATCTGTAAAATAGCAATGCTTATTTAAAACCTCCTAAGTTGTGGCTTAGTTGGTTGAGCATCCGACTCTTGGTTTTGGCTCAGGTCATAATCTCATGACTCATGGGATCGAGCCCCATCCCATCGAGGGCTAGCATCTGCTTCCTTCTTCTCCCTCTTCCTCTGCCCCTTCCCTGCCTTGCAGTCTCTCTCTAAAATACATAAATAAAATGTTCAAAAAAATAAAATAAAATAAAACCTGGTAAGTTAAAGAAAAGGGGGTGTGGGAATCAGTGGTTTGTAATGCTGTCAATCTTCATATAGTGATTACGGTTATCTTTATTTATTTCCTTTCTGTTTCCATTGGCATACACTGTTTTTCCTAACATAGCATGCATACATATCCTGAGTTTTTCTTTTTTTTTGATGCCAGTCTTTGGTTATTATGGTGATGATTAATTTGAATAAAACTTGAAATCAAACTTTTATTTATTTATTTTCATACAGAAAATGAAGACCTTTCCAATCAGTCAAAACCTACACAGAATCAAAGTAAGTATCAACTTTGCTCCAGATATAGCTGAAGTCTGTCCTGGTTGTCTGCTCTGTTAGTCACTGAGAACAGTTTGAATTGAATGTATTTGGAATCTGTGCTTTGGGGAAAGTTCCTAGTTAAAGAATTTAATCAGTACTTGCTAAAAGAGGCTTGATAGTGGTACATCATGTATACACAGAATGAAATGCACGTATTAACTGGATTTAAAATTAACCATTTGCCTTTGTGTCTTATATGAAAAACTTGCAATATAATCCAAGTGCTGTGTGGGCATTACATCCACATTCACTTTACATTATGTGATATTAGAAGCCTCATTTTTGTTTTGATATGAACACATAAGATCCTTTTTCCTAAATGCTATTTCAAGTACTAGTTTTAATTATTTTCATAAGCATTGGGAGTAGCATAGCTTAATGTAGAAAAAAAAAAATAAGGGCTGCCTAAGCAGAAAGTGGAATTGAAAAAGGCAGATGAGGGGCGCCTGGGTGGCTCAGTCAGTTAAGTGTCTGACTCTCAGTTTCACCTCAGGGCTTGATCTTAGGGGCTTGAGTTCAAGTCTGGTGCTGGACTCCATGCTGGGCTCCATGCTGGGCATGGAGCCTACTTTGAAAACAAAAAAGGAAGGGAGGGAGGGAGGGAGGATGGGGGGATGAAAGGTGACATGCCTGCAGATGGCAGCAGTGCTGCAACATTTTATTTTTCTTCTAGTTGAGGATCTTCGTGGTCAGGAAGGAGATGTGTGCTGATAGACAAAGCCTGAGCTCAGTTCTTGTGTAGCAAAGTAGCACATCATTATAGTGCATAGTTAGGAGTCTCAGTGGGAATTCTATTCCCTGAGCAGGGTGCCTAACAGTGATTTTTTGCTGGTGGTTTCTAAAGGAGGTAGTATAATGGGCTGGAAAAAAACACTGAGTTGTCAGGACATCATTTTCTTACCCTGCCTAGCTTTGTGACCATGTCATTTAACTTCTATGAAAAGGAGGTTGAGGGGGCGCCTGGGTGGCTCAGTTGGTTAAGTGACTGCCTTCGGCTCAGGTCATGATCCTGGAGTCCCTGGATCGAGTCCCGCATCAGGCTCCCTGCTCAGCAGGGAGTCTGCTTCTCCCTCTGACCCTCCCCCCTCTCATGTGCTCTCTCTCATTCTCTCTCTCTCAAATAAATAAATAAAAAATCTTTAAAATATTTAAAAAAAAAAAAAAGGAGGTTGAGGAAGCTTGAGCCTTTATGCTCAGCTTCATTAATCTGTTTCTGAAGGGAGTAACAGGTTAAGTGTCCTAAGAACCATCATTAGGAATAGCATACTTTGTTTTCCTATGCTGTGTTATGTTAGCATGATTAAGATTTTATTTTCCTTTTGAACCAGATCAAGAAACAAAAAGATAAACTAGTATAGTGGTTAAGAATATGGGTCTGTCAGACCAGGGTTCAAATTTTGGTTGACCTTTTTTAAAATTATTACTGTGACAAGACCGCACTTAATGAGTTCTACCCTCTTTAATTTTTAAGTACACAATATAGAATTGTTAACTATAGATACAGTGTCATACAGCAGATGTCTGGAACTTATTTACCTTGCATAACTGAAACTTGATACCCTTTGAACGCCACTGAATAGCTGCATGATCTTCTAACAAGTTGCTTTAAACACAAGATCCTTTTTCCTAAATGCTATTTCAAATACTAGTTTTAGATTTAATTATTTTTAAGTTTTAGATTTAATATTTATGGAGTTGTTCGTACCTATCCCAGAGGGTTACCTGGGGACAAATGAAATGATAGGCATAAAGTACTTAGCACAGCATCTGACAGATAATGTTTTATGGTTATCAACCAAACTACATGGCAGGAAAGTCGTATTTATCATGGTATCTTTTGGGGTTTTTCTCGATTTGTTGTTGTTTTATTGCATCTTAACTGCAGGCCCTGTGTATGGTTAACAGTGCATGGCTTTTGCTTTATATAAGAAGATCTTCAACAAAGGCTGCTTATAAAGAATGCTATGGGACAGTCTGGTCTGACCTTGTGATTTGTCATTCACTACGTGGTCTTCAGCATGTAGTTACATAAGATAGCGAATTCTCAAATATTTCCCAACCAGTGTTGACCCTAATAAATTTTTAGTACATTATTTACAAACACAAAACTAGGTATATATTACTTGTGCTTCTAGTTCTTGTTAAACAAACGCAAACAAAAGTACAAATCCATTTTCATATGTTCTCTAAATTTAAAATATCTAGTTTTATTTTCTTTATTACTGCTAATGACATGAATATTATCAGATTTTAGGCCTTTTGAGTTTGAAGTTCATGTATTTCTATGTTTCGGTTTGTCAGTTCTGCCATCTTTCTTTTCTAAACTACCATAAAATTTGTTCAGCCCAGTATAGCACCTTTTGGGCATCTCTTAGTACAAATAGATGATGTATATGCTGTTTTCTTCCATTCTTTTCCTGTGGTCCCTTCCCCACCATGATTAACATTGTGCATTACTTCATTGATCGTGTCAGCTTCCTTATGCAAAGTCTTTATTATGCATAAGTTTAGAAACTTAAGTCTTAGCCCATGAAAATAACTTCCACATGATTATCACTGCAAAAGGAACATTCTCTGTTTACAAGTGAAATACACTTTGATATGAATATGGCAGCAGATGATAGTTGTCATTATGACTTTAGGTACCTAAGTCATGCTTTCCATTTGACACCAACAAGATTTTCATCAAAGGCTAACATTGGCACTAAATTGATTCGGAGGAAACACAAATCATCCCCCCAAATACTTACAGTAATTATTCATAGAGTTTATGAGAATAAAAATACTGTAGCAAACTCTAGTGGAATTCTTGAGAATAAGTCCTTGGATGGGTTTGGTAACTATAGTTGAGGTCATGGTGATATATCCAGTGGGGCAAACACTCATTAAATACACAGGTGCCATGTACAGTGCTAGGTGCTAAGGCTCTAAAGAGGAATTAGACATGGCTTTTGCCCCTAAGGGAACTCCTCGGACAAGGCAAGTAGCATTTGAGGTTGAGATTGTGTAGAGGAGGCAGTATGAGAAAATGGGGAAAAAAAGCTCTATAGATTATAAACTGGAATATCAAGTTCAACTCACAGAGTGGTCATAATACTGGAGAAATAGGCATGAATCCTGGGAGGCCCATTGTGACCTAAGAGGAAAATGATGTCCTGAAAGCTCTTAAGAGGGGGAAACAACTTGTTTTACTATTCTAGAGAAGTGGTTTGAGAGAATGAAAGCTAAAGTCGGTACACCAACACTAATCACAATTAAATTTTTAATTTTTAAAAATTAGGAAATTACAAAAGGAAAGTTTGTTTGCTAACTTCTCAAGGCTTCCTCACTGTGCATTGGAGGGCTCTTCTAATCAGAGTCTAGAAGACAACTGGCTCTACCTGAGGCTCCATAGGGAAAATCAGGGTCATGGAATCTAGCAACGTGTACACTGCAGTAGCCTATTATACCTGTTGCTGATTTTCTTCATGTTTGTCAAATGTTACAGAAATGTTGACTCATTTCTTTTGGATTAAACTTTGACATTTCAGCGTGGTGATATTCTTGCCTTTCTCCCCCCTCCCCCCGCAGTAGCATTTTCTACCCCAGCAAGTCAGCTCTTCTCTCCTCATGGTTCCAATCCTTCAACACCTGCTGTGACGCCCGTCCCTACCGCATCCCCGGTCAAGGCAGTAAACCATCCATCAGCATCAGTAACTGCTACCGTATCCGGGCTGAACATGGCGAATACTGTCCTGCCGGTGTTCCCAGGGCAGGTCTCCTCGGCCATTCATACGCCTCAGCCATCAACGCCGAATCCAACGGTTATCAGAACCCCTTCCTTGCCTGCCGCACCTGTTACTTCTGCCCACAGTACATCATCAGCTCCTGTCCCGTCGGTTTTTTCTGGCCTGGTTCCCCTGCCAGGTCCTTCCGCTCCTCCTGTCCCAGCCCCTCAGGCGACATCCACACCTCGGGCCGCTCCTGCTTCCAATGAAACATTTGCTTCGACTTCCGCCGCTTTCACTGGCCTCCCCTTTTCTGCCACTTCTACTGCTGCTTCTGCCAACAATGTCAATTCTGCTTCACTGTCGTCAGTGTTTGCAGGTCTGCCCTTGCCCCTAACGCCGTCATCCCAAGGTGTGACCAACCTGGCGCCCTCTGTCATTGCCGGGGGCTCTGCTCCCAGTGTGGCCTGCCCACTCGGTGTAAATAATCCTCTTCTGTCTGCTTTAAAAGGCTTTCTGACATCAAATGATACCAGCTTAATCAGCTCATCTGCTCTGTCCTCTGCTGTTACAAGCGGGCTGGCTTCACTGTCTTCTCTTACTAATCAGAGCTCTGATTCGCTGGCCTCGGGCTCTAACAAGTGCTATGCCCCGCCGGCCATGCCCGGCCCGCCGAGGGCCTCCACCCCCGGGCTGGCCATGTTCCCGAGCCTGCCCGCCTCCGTGGCGAACTCCGCTTCCACGCCGTCGACTTTGCCCACGCCTTCTCCGCTGGTGACGCCTACGTCGTGTGCTGCTGCAGGGCCGGTCAGCTGTGGCTCTTCCGCGGTCTTCCTGCAGGGCCCCCACGCGACTAACTCGGAGCTGCACATTGCGCCCGCGCCCGCTGTCACCACCGGCCCTGTGCTAATCAAAACTGAGCCCACGAGCCCCACCCCCTCCGCTTTCAAAGGCCCCGCTCCTTCCGCGAATCCCTCTCCTGGCGCTTTAGGTCTGTCAGGGACGTTGGGCCGCACGTACACGTCAGCTTCGGTGCCCATCACTTTGTCGACTTGCCTTAATCCTGCACTGTCCGGCCTCTCCAGCCTGACGACTCCCCTGAATGTGTCCAACCCCCTTTCCTCCATCGCCCTGCCGCCGCACGCTTCCTCCGCCCCCATCACTCCGGTGTTCACTGCTCTGCCTCCTTTTACTTCTTTGACCAATAATTTCCCTTTAAGCGGCAACCCGCCTCTTAACCCATCAGCGGCTCTGCCAGGGTCGTTAATAGCAGCCACCTCGTCTGCCGCGGTCACGTCCGCACCCGTCCCTCCTCCGAGTTCCACCGCGGCCGTGCTCTCGGGGCTCTCGGCCTCGGCACCGGTCTCTGGCTCGGCGGCGCCTTTCCCCCTCAACCTGTCCACCGCCGTCCCTTCCCTCTTCTCCGTCACGCAGGGACCCCTGCCCTCTTCAAACCCCTCCTACCCCGGCTTTTCCGTCTCCAACACGCCCAGCGTCGCCCCCGCCCTGCCCTCGTTCCCGGGGCTGCAGCCGCCGGCCACGGTGGCGGCGGTCCCAGCGCTGCCCGTCGCAGCCACGACCCCATCGCCAGCTCCCGTCCTCCCGGGATTCGCTTCCGCCTTCAGCTCCAATTTCAACTCTGCTCTCGTTGCACAAGCCGGGTATGTGGATACTTTGGAGATAGGATATGGTCATTCCTGACTTACCTTGTAGTTCATAGTCTTCTTAAGTCATTCCAGTGAGTCTAACCTGATTGTTGGGTGGTGTTAAATTTATATATTTCTGGGCTGAAACTTCAATACTCGGAAAACATGTGTAGCCCTTCAGCCATGTTAAGTATATATAATATATCTGCTCAGATTATTTTAGTATTCGGTAATTTATCCTTATTATAAAGTAGCAGAAAGTATTACAGGTAAAACATAGACTTATTACATTCAGGATAATGTACTTTATAATAGTAAGTTTTATGTTAGTGAGTGACTGACTTTTCTGGTTCCTTCCAGTGGGGAGGTTTAAAGTTTGTTTTACATCTCAAGGTAGTTTTTGACAAATACAGAGGCAATAGGTTTTGTCTTATTTGCATTTTGACCTGTTCTGTCTATTGTTTTAGCTTATCATCTGGCCTTCAAGCTGCAGGCAGTTCTGTTTTTCCAGGCCTTCTGTCCCTCCCGGGTATCCCAGGGTTCTCCCAGAACCCTTCACAGTCCTCCTTGCAAGAATTACAGCATAATGCCGCTGCGCAGTCGGCCTTGTTACAGCAGGTAAGCAGGCAAGGTCGGGCAGAAATTAAATGGAAACATACATGCGTGCCTCTGTCCTGATAACGGTGTAAGGCCAATGATGATATCCCAACACTGGCTTCTCTGAGAAGCGTGTCCGGAGAGTTTAGGATTAATCTCCGCAAATTTGCAAATTATTCTTGTCTTCCTTCAGAAGGCTAACGAAGGTGGTGGAGTATATTCGTCTATATGAATTGTTTTTCCTGCTTACAGACTTTCAAATCTTAGCTTGGAGATTTTACAAATGGAATCTTTACACATGGCAGCTATATTTGAGCTGGTAATTTAAGCTAACATAATGGACTTTAATTAAATCATGTTTTCTCTAGAAAACCTATTAACCTTTTTTGAAAGTATATTAAGTATTTTAATGGCATTTCTCTTGGCCTCCACCATCTGAAGAATTTTGAATGTTTCTTAAAAATTTTAGGAGACTATGCAGACTTATCTTGCCCCAGCATTTTCTGTTTCTTTCCTATTCTAAATATCTGTAGTGTGGTACAGGCAAAAGCAAGTACCAACTTGATTGAATTTGGCCCTCTGCTAACCTGCATGTTCTTCTTTCTATCAGGTCCACTCAGCTTCAGCTTTGGAAAGCTATTCAGCTCAGCCAGATGGGTTTCCTAGTTACCCTTCAACACCAGGAACGCCATTTTCGTTGCAACCAGGCTTGTCCCAAAGTGGGTGGCAGTGAATAGATTTTAATTTGTATTCTCCTTTGGAGCAACATCAAAAATGCCTAAGGACTGCAGTGAACAATCTGACTAATGTGAAGTTGGCTAAAAGTCAGAAAATGAGAATGAGGATAATCCTGGGGAAATTAGGATAAGAGTTTAAAACAAGGTGATTGTATTTTTAATGGTTTTAAGTATGAACACTCTCCCATGTAAATAAGCTGATAATGAATTGTATGGAGAATAGTATTAAAAAGGTGTTTGGGGACTTTTCACCTCCCACCCTATGAAATTTTGAGTCGTGTATGTGATCTCTGTAGGAAGAATACTAAAGAGGAGGTTGAACTCTTTATAGCCGAATACAGCCTTAAATCTGCTTGTATAGCATCCACTGACAGAAGTAATAGTTATGCCTCAGACTTCTGGGTTGCATTTGGCCCTGGGGGCATGACTGCCCTTGGTGTGCACGAGTGGTTCCTATTAGCATCCTTGGAACTCAGTACTCCGTATGTATCCACAGAAGGGAGCCTGAGACCCACAGTTATTTCTAATTTCTGACATTTATGCTCATACATATACTGCTGAATTTAACTTAATATAGTTCAGGTAAGTGAAAATGGTGCTTAATATAGTCTTTAGGATGACTTTCAGGTGTTTTCGACTAAAAATATATCCAAAACAACTTTCTTACAGAAATGCAAGTAAGGCTTGTGATAATTTGCCTTCAAAACTCATTTCTTAATTTCAGCAGTATCCAAATGAGTGAGGAACATTTGACTGACTCTTGGGCCACCTCTATTACTCATTGTACTCTGGAAGCTCTTGGTGAATGTTTACAATCATGGGATGTAGTGTTTCTATTTGTACTTAAAGTCCAACGCTTATCTGAAAGAATGACATGACAACAAATAGAGAAGACTTGCTCCGTTAGTAACCATGCAGTGTGTACTCTATCTAAGGATCTGTGGTAGTATATAACATGATTGAATGTCATTAATTAAGTCTAAGAACTGCCACATTCGGGGGGACAGGGAGAATGATTTTCAATCCTGTGATTAAAAGTGTAAACTATAGAATCTACTGTAGTACATTTCAGCATCTAGAAGTTTTACTTTTATAAAGATGGTGTCTGGAAGATGTTGCTAATGTATTTTCCTTCAACACGGGGAACAAACTTTTTAAGTATATTAATAAATATTCCTGTACGGTTAGTTTTTAACAATTTTTTAAAATAAACTTTATGGATACAACAAATGTGTTTTATTAAGTGCTTCGAGAGGCTTTTTAATTTTTCGTATATGCTAATACATAGAACATTTTTGTCCAAATTCATTTGAAACTCAGTTGCTCATTCCTTTATATATTATCTTACGTGAAACTTACAACCAACACTTCAAACAGACTATTTATGCCTTTAATTATCTGCAAACACAGAATGTAACTGCATAGTTAATCCAATGCCAGTTGCTGGAAGTTGTCATTTGTTCTTTTTTAAGTCCACACTTATAAAACCTTTTAAAGATTGTCTTATATATATATGTTGACCATTCACTCAAGACAAATTAATGAGTAATCTTTCTCTAGTGATACTGCTACAAGGTTTAGTTTTACTGTCCCATGAGCCCCTGTCATCATAGCAAAGGAACTATGTCCTGTTCATCTTTTAGATGTATTCCTGGCATCTTGTGTGTATCGGGCACATAAAGGTTTATATAAAAATGAAGAGAACATTTTTGGAGTGCTTGCAATAATTACCGCAGATGGGTTTTATGTATCTCATAACCCTATGAGATAAGTACTAGCAACATAATTAACCAGATAGATAAGTCAAGATGTAAGTCCCACAACATAGTAAGTGGTAAATTTAAACCAAGCATTTAATACCAATACCAAGCTACTTTTACTACCAAGGGCTTTGAAAATAGGCAAGAGAGAACGTGACTACCTTTCTGCCTGAGGGAGTCCAGGAAACCTTCTCAGTGACATTAAAGTTTTAGGATGAGTAAGAAATAACATCCTTCATAGAGGCACCAAGTGTGACAGACCAGCACAGCAATATAATCCCATAACTGGCTGGGGTTTGAATGAAGTTTGTAGTTTGGGGAACTCTAAAATCAAGGGACCTGATTGCAAAAGACCTCGTAAGCCATGCGGAGGACTCGGGTGTTTGTTTCCGGTCAGCAGTTTGAAATAGAAAGCACTTTGCAAAAGTCACGTAGGCTATAGCATGGAGGTTGAATTAGAGGTAGTACACTGGATGGTTTTTCCAGAAATCTAAAAATGAAGATGGTGAGGATCTGCATTATGGAAAGGGATTAGAAATGTACCTCTGCATTCTCTTCACATAAAGCCCTATAGTTATATAGGATTTGCAAACACTGTTAATTCATGTAATTGATGAACCTTAATTTTAAGCCTTACCAATTGATTTGCTAGGTGAGTTTAGTCTGCACTTACTAAATATAGTTAGTGTCACAGAATTTTAGAAAGGACTTCATTTACTCCAAGCCTCATTCTAGATGAAAATGGGCATGGTTGTCTGTGGTGTCCACAGATGGTTAATGTGACACTGAGACACAGGTTATGCTTTCGTTATTGCAGGGGCGACAATGAGACCTGTAACATTTCTTGTTAAAAGTGGATGGAACAAGACTTTTCAGTATTAGAAACAATTAAGGAATAATATATTTTTAAATCACTTGACAAAATAGCCATCAGTGAACTTTCTACAGTTTTAACTTCTAGGGCCCTAAAATCAATTAAGAAATTGGATTCCAAAGATTATAGGTGGGGAAGTTTTGAAGTATGTCCATATCCAAGTGAAGATCAAAGAAGTTCCAACTGAGGGGAACCTGGGTGCCTCAGTAGGTTAAGCTTCAGACTCTTGATTTGAGCTAAGGTCCCAAGATTGAGCCACGCGTCGGGCTCTGCACCAGGCGTGGATCCTGCTTAAGATTCTCTCCCTCTGCCCCCGACTCAAAAAAAAAAAAAAAAAGCCCAACTGAAAGAATTGTGGACTGACTGACAATGACAACTGTGGATTGAGCAAAAGTTCTTTTTAAAAAGGGCTACCTTGGGGCGCCTGGGTAGCTCAGTCGTTAAGTGTCTGACTTCAGCTCAGGTCATGATCCCGAGGTCCTGGGATAGAGCCCCACATCAGGCTCCCTGCTCTGCGGGCAGCCTGCTTCTCCCCTCCCACTCCCCCTGCTTGTGTTCCCTCTTTCACTGTGTCTCCCTCTCTCTGTGTCAAATAAATAAATAAAATATAAATAAAAAGGGCTACCTGGAAGATTATGACAGACTTTGAGGGAACTAAGGTGATTGGTAGTAGGAGAAATCACATGTGAAATTCCTTAAATATAAATTTATTGACTTAAAAAAGACACTTCACTCCAAATCAAATTTAGTGAGCCTTTGTTGTTTCTAAAGGTGACACAACACTAGTAAACAATGTCTCATTTGGGTCAGTTAAGTGACAAAATATTGGGCAACACTGGCAAGTCTGTTGGGAAGGGCGATCAAAATTAAAGTATCCCCAGGATACTTTTCAGGAGGGGCATTTTGATACTGACTAAATTTCAAAATTCCTAATTTACTTCTGGTAAAAGTTTTACAGTAAGAGTTCAAAGTCTTCGGTGTTTGGGGCTCCTGGGTGGCTCCATCGGTTAAGCGTCCAACTCTTGATTTCCACTCAGGTCATGATCTCGGCTCAGGTCAGATCTCAGGGTCATGAGATTGAGCCCTGTCTCTTGCTCCACGCTCAACGGGGCATCTGCTTGAGGATTCTCTCCCTCTTCCTCTGCCCCTCCCCCTGCTCCCACAAGCACTCTCTCTCTCTTTCTCTCTCTCAAATAAATAAATCTTCAAAGTCATTAGTGTTTTTAATTCCTAATTGGTGGAGAGGGCAAATGGAATAAGAAAAAAACATGGAGTAGGCACAGAAAAGTGGAAGAAATAAGCACACAGTAAGAAGTCTTACTTGCCAGCATGTTGGTATGTTGGAAGCCTCGGAAGTCTTTTCAGGCTCATTCTACTGCACACACTCCTCCAAGAGAATAGAAGGGGGAAACACTCATCAACTCATTCTTATAGACCAATTTAACCCTGATACCACAACTCAGACAAGCGTTGTAGGAGAAAAAATGCAAGTCAACCTTACCCAAGAAAAATAGTGAAACATAAAATATTAGCAAGACTAAAAAATAGTACACCATAACCAAGTTGGGTTTCTGTCGGGAGTAAAGGATAGATTTATTAATAGTAAAGCAAGGATAAAATTAAATCTAAAAGGGCAATCATCACATGGAGAAAAATCATTTTTTCAGTCTATAAAAAATGGTTGATAAAAATCACCATAATGGTTAAAAAACACACATTTAGCAAACTATGAAAAGAATGAAGCTTTATTAGGTAAAGTTAATCTATAAAAGTATAGCATACATTATTCTTAACTATGGAATTTTAGAAGCAGCTCTTTAAAATCAGGCTGGTCAAGTAAAATGTAGTTCAGCATTGTACTACACAGTCTGGCTAATACTGGCAAGGTATAAAACAGTAAAAGGTATAATTAAAAAGTAAGATATAAAGCTTAGTGAGATTTACGAATATATTCAAAAGTCAGTTGCATTTTCAAATATGAGCAACAGCAAAAAACTTCATTCAACAAAAGGAAACACCAGGCAATGGAATACTATTCGGCACTAAAAAAAGGAGCTACCAAGCTATGAAAAGACATGGTGTAACCCTAAATGCAGATTGCTAGGTGAAAGAAGCCAATCTGGAAAAGTTTCCATATGATTTCAACTAAATGACATTCTGGAAAAGGTAAAACCATGGACATAGAAGATCAGTGGTTGCAAGGGGCTTGGGGGAGGGGCAGAGAAGGATGAATAGGTGGAGCACAGAGGGTTTCCAGAGCAGTGAAAATATTCTATGGTATTATAGTGATGGCTGACATCATCATAACATTATCATGACATTATACATTTGTGCAAGCCCATAGAATGTACGACACCAAGAGTGAATCCTAATCCAAACTATGGACTCTGGGTGATAATGATGTGTTAATGTAAGTTCGTCAATTGCAACAAATGTACCACTCTAGTGGAGGATTTTGATAATGCGGGAGCCTAGGCATGTGTGGGAGCAAGAGGTATATGGGAAGTCTTTGTACCTTCCTCTCAATTTTGCTGTGAACATATAACTGCTCTAAAAAATTTTAAGTCTTTAGAAAGAAAACAGTGACATATGACTTAGGAGTTATGGAGAATTTTTTTTTTTAACTTCATGACAATCATTAAAGAAAACCTATTCATTTATTTATTTATTATTTTTTTTTTAAGATTTTATTTATTTATTTATTTGAGAGAGAGAGAGAAACAGCATGAAAGGGGATAGGGTCAGAAGGAGAAGCAGGCTCTCCGCCGAGCCGGGAGCCCGATGTGGGACTCGATCCCAGGACTCCGGGATCATGACCCGAGCCGAAGGCAGTCACCCAACCAACTGAGCCACCCAGGCGCCCCTAAAGAAAACCTATTTAAATGAAGGTTACACAACTATCATGGTTACAAATAATAGATACTCTTCTAAAGACAATGAGGAACCTGCTCTACCAAATACCAAGACTAATAAAACCATAGAAACTAAGACAATGAAGTATTCATTGGAGATAACCAAATTGATAGCGGAGTATAATAAGGAAACCATGAGTGCTCACTCTGACGAGACCAATTTATAACAGCTGGCATGGCAGATGAGTAAAGATATTGGACGATTTGTTATAAAGTGCTCTGAGAATTGGGTATTTATATAAAAGAAAATTAAAATGGATCCCTACACTACACCATGCACAAAAAGCAACTCTGGGTGGATTCAAGACCTAAAGTCAAAAGAGCAAATAACTCTAAAAGCTTTCAAAGAAAATATAGGAGACTATCCTCTCTTAAGGATATCCTGTCTTCCATAGAAAAGGAAGGATTTTTAAACAAGACATACCAGACACTAAGTATATTGAAGCTTCCTATATTTGATATCAAAGGCATCATTAAAAAGGTGAAAAGATAAGCCACAATGGAGAGAATTATATTTGCCCCTCATGTAGCTGTCAAGCATCTATCTATATATATATATATATAAGTATATAGAAAGTATATATGCATATTAAAAACATATGGAAATGTATATATAAAGACTATATATAAATCAGTAAGAAAATGGAAAAAATGAAAAAGAGCAAAAGACATAAGTACAATACAGGGAAAAGA